CCCTGCCGCGGCCGTCGCACCTGACTTCCCTCCCCGCCCCGGTCTTCCCGCCCCAGGCCTTGGCTCCAGCCCGCTCCTCCCCAGGCGACTGAAACCTCAGGGCTCAGCCCCCTCCCCGCCGCTCCCCACCCCCTCCTGTCACCTCACCTTCCCGACAGACACCCCCTGCCTCCCGGCACACTGGGTGAGCACCTGTTCGTTCACCCAGTGTGCCGAGGCCGACCGAGGCAGTGCGAGGCGAGCCTCCTGCCTCAGCCTCCCGAAGGCTGGGATCGCAGGCATGCACCACCACGCCGGCCTCCACCTCTCCTTCACCCTGGGGTGGGGCTCAGCTTTGGGGTCTGGGGGCTGAGAAGAAGGGGGTCGTTAGGAGAAGAGCCGCGTGCAGATAGCGCACCCTTTGGAGGCTTGGGGTGGACGAGTCCCACCGTCAAACCCACTGTTCCTTCCTCAGAGCAGGACCCGGCCCCTGCGGTGGGGGCAGCGGCGGCGGCGACTGGGACTTCGCAGGGCCTGAGCTGGGGTGCTGGAGTGGGGGAGGAGCAGTGAGATGTGGAGGCTGCTTCCTGCGCAGAGGAAAACCCGCTGCAAGCGGAGGGGCGCCGAGGCTGCCCAACTGCGCAGGCGGCCTGGCCCCGTGGCAGTCCCCTGGCCAGACCCCGATTTCCTCACCTCCACGGGGCGGGGTGACTTAGTCCCGGACACGTCCCCGGGAGCTTGTGCCCGGCGCCCCGCACCGGAGCCGGAGGCGTGCGGCGACACCAAGGCTGGCCTGGAGTGCATCCCAGGGACACATCTGATAGCATGTGTTTCTTACGTCTATCTTTGCGGTGCTACGGCGGAACCAGGGCCTTCGCACTGAGCTGCATCCCCTGCCCTCTACTGATCTTTAAAATTTTGACACAGAGTTGCACTAAGTCTCTAAGCTGTCCAGGCTGGGCTGGAACTGGTGACCCTCCTGCCTCAGCCTCCCAGAGGGGCCCCACTCTGCTGTCACCACCTGGGGGAGTGCGGCGCAGCTCCTGTGTGGGGAGCCTTGGGCGTGGGTTCCAGAGCTCAGTGCAGGATGCTATGACCAGTATCAGACTGGGCTTCCCGGAGGGCCATGGGCACCCCTTCCGGACCTCACAGAGGATGACGGCCATCACACGACCGCCAAGGACAGGGTCGCCGGTCCCCTCCGGGTCGCTCCCAGCAGCCTTGCCTCCCCTGCAAACCCCAGGTGGCAGCTCCAGGGAACAGGCCCTCTGCACCGACTCCGAGTGGCGGTGACCGAGAGGCTGCGACCATCTGGCCCACCCGGGACGGTACTGCCCACGTACCCTCCCAAACATCCCCAGCCGGGCAGAGCGAGGGCCCAGGCCCAGCGCTCAGAGAGGTCTGGGCCGGCTGGCGGCAGGGGTGGGTGCAGTGTCCCTGGAGAACGGGGCAACAGGCCCCTGTCTTCCACTGACCATGAGGTCTGGGCACGGCAGAAATCTGGGACCCAAGACTCCGCTCCAGGCCCTACGGCCATAGACGGGAAGTCACACAGATTCCAGGGCAACTTGGAGGAAGAAAGATAACAGGCAGGAAGAGACCGTGCAGCCGGGAGGAAGCCAGAGGCGGCTGAAGTGTCTGCGGGCAATGCAGCTGTCACTTTTGAAGAACTTTTCTGGAGGGGGAGGCCCAGAGTGGGGCTGGGGATTTGGCTCAGCGGCAAAGCGCCTGCCTGGCAAGCTCAAGGTTGTGAGTTCGATTCCTGGTACCGGAAGAAAAACAAAACAAAACAAAAACCCAAAAAACAAAAACTGAGTGGGGTGCTGCAGGACAAATAAGAGCTTGGGGGATAGAAACGAGAACATTCTGACGGAGGCTTGGCCTAAATGCGCCTGCGCATGGCGGTTTAAACCCAAACCCAGCACTTTCTGCAGGAGGCAGGGAAAAGCAGGACAGTTACCCTCCCCAGCCTCGGTTTCCCCACTAGGACCAAGGAGGGGGCTGCGGGCCCGCAGGCCCTGCCAGGTGCGGAGGCTGCTTCCGGCGGCGTGGTGGCTGGGAGCCCCAGCGGGTCGCAGGACGTCAGAGTGTGGGTGCAGCGGGTTTCCCAGCCTCACCCACAGGGGCCGCCCCAACCCTGGGTGACAGCCACACTCCTGGAACCTGGGAGCCAGTTCTTTTTTCTCGAAACTGTTTATTGTTTCAGAATAGAAAGACTCCAGAAGAAAAGGGACCTCAACCGTGACAGTGAGATGCGGAGGCAGGGGCCCCATCCCACCCCCAAGAGGGGCTTTCCACCCCGGTGCAGCCCGCGTCCCCTCCATGATGCCCACCCTGCAACCCCCAACCGCGCTGTGGGGTTGTCCCGAGCAACCTTGGGTCAGCGGACAGGAAAGCCGAAAGGACCTGGAACCAGATCAGCGCAGGCTGCCACCTAGAGGTTAAGAAGGATGTGGTTTTATGCGATGGAGCACTACTCAGCCCTAAAGAAGGACGAGCTTGAGACTTTTCTAGCTAAATGAATTCACGTTGAGACCACACTCTTCAGTAAAATAAACTGGACATGTGTGTGTAAATGCCACATCGTTTCTCTCGTGTGAGAAACCGAAAGTGTAGATCAGGATCAAAATGTATAATAGATGTGAGGAAGCAGGAAGAAAGTGTTCAGATGGGAAGGGGAACAAGGGAGGGAGGAGGGGAAAAGGACGGAGGTGACAAAAAAAAATAGAAGAAAAAAATGGAAACACAACTTTCATAAATGAGGGGAGAGGGGCTGAAGGGAGGGGAGGGGACTGGGAAAAAAGCAAGACAGACCCTGTACCGCGCCTCTGCGGTGAATGCTACTCCTACGCAAGCCTAAAGTGCGCCAGTAAGTAAACATGCAAAGAAAGAAAAAAAGAGGAAGGCATTTGAAAAACTCTGTAAGGCAGGTAAGAAGGGCTCAGAGCTTAGCAGAGCGGGGTCCAAGCCCAGGCCCCGCCCCCCACAGCTCCGCCCCCACAGAGTCCGAGAGAGCCCAAGCCCCGCCCTCCCACAGCCACGCCCCAGAGTCCGAGAGCGCCCAAGCCCCGCCCACATCCCCGCCCCCAGAGGGTCCGAGAGGCCCAAGCCCCGCCCCCAGGTGGGCCGTGAGAGCCCAAGCCCCGCCCTCCCACAGCCACGCCCCAGAGTCCGAGAGGGCCCAAGCCCCGCCCCCATGGCCCCGCCCCCAGGGTTCGAGAGCGCCCAAGCCCCGCCCTCCCACAGCC